ATAGGTCCCCAAAAAACTTTTAATTGAGGACCCTGAAAAATTCGAAGGCTTGGAGGTTTTGTTTTGTTTACGACTATCTTGCAACATTGTAAAAATAGCATTTGTGGAAAAATAAAAAGTAAATAATGTAAAGCCCAAAAAATCGTGCATTATTAATACTTATTTATTGAATTATATTACAAGAATTTTGATAACCATCACCATACAAAACATTATTTTGTTCATCACAACTTTCAGCATATTGATTATTATGACAACCAGCTCCTTGGTAATCATCCATAGATTGATCACAATAACTCATATATAAAGGATCGCGCCGGCAGGCAACCATATAAGAATTTTCACCTTGATTAGACCATGATAGTTGTTCGCTGCAATCATCACAGCATTGAACCGAATGGCTTTCTTGGCTACAATATTCATAATTATTGTCATATGCTTCACCACCACTTTCAATAAATTTTGGCCCACCACACGATAATGGTAGTTCTCCATCATATAATTGTGCTCCTGTACCCACTCCTAATGGTAAAGGTTGTATTTCGTCACGTTTATTATTGTTATCAGATGTAATTGAGAATTTAGGTAATGCAAAAGTTGTACTAACAATGGATGTGATGATTATAATCGTAATGATATAGATTGTGATTTTCAACATTTTTAATTTTTATTCTTTTGCTTTCTTTCTTGGGAAAAATATTTTGATTGAAGAAATTGAAGAGAACATCTAGTTGAATAGTTTCTTATATAGTTATTATAATAATTGTTCTTTAATTAATCAATCAATTTGTTTAAATTATTTATTATATTAATTAAACAGCCAGCAATATAAAAATTTATTAATCAATTAAATCATTTAATGAATTCACTTTATTTATTTATATATTGATAGGTGTGTGCACATTTTATGTTACACCAATAATCAATTTGCAAGGCAAATAGTTTTTTGGTCAGTAAAGAAATCGAGACTGTATTCACCTCCTTCTTTTCCCAAACCTATTTATCAACATTGATTTAAAAAAATATATATACATAATGATTTTTTTTAATTAAAATTAACAATAAATCACAATCACAAAGTAAATATTATTTTTATTGATTGTTTCATTTGTCGTTTAAATTAATTGATCAAAAATTTAAATTAATTGAATTAGTGTTAAGCCATCTTGTCGTGTAGCACAAGAAGAGATTTTTGGACCTGTAAGTAATACAAATAGCACCTTGGTTCATCATTTATTATAACCTCCAAATATAATATAATCAACATACACACACATATATATATGAATGATATAGGTTGTGACTATTCATACATTTGAAAGTGAGGAAGAAGTTATAGAGTATGCAAATGATACTGAATATGGTTTAAGTTGCTCTGTATGGAGTGGAAATGGTAAAC